AAATGAATTTCTGATTTTTTTTTATCTGAAAGATAAGCTTATCATTTCCACCAATGTTTTATTTTTTCTCAATAAATAAAAGAGAAATGAAAAAATTCGTCAGATTATTTGGTTTTAAAAGATGAAAAAAGTAGTACTGCTCGAATACAAATATAAATCTTCGCAAAATTCATTGTCATTAGGAAAGAAAATGGAAATTTTTCGTTATTCGAAAAGTAAAATTTGAATTGTAAGTGCTTTGAATGATTTATTACACTAAACGGGTTTTTTATGAAAAAGCGAAATGTGATAAATGATGGTAAATTATTAAATAGCAGGTTAACTTTACTGTTACCGTTACCAGCATATGACAATATGTATATATATAGGATTTGTTGGTTTAGAATTATCATTTTCTATGAATATTTTCTCGATCCAAGAAAAAGAAGGAAAAAAATTATGCAAAAAAGATTTGAAGAAAATTATTTCTTAGATGCTAACAAATTAAAAGAGACAAGCAATACTTAAAAGCCTATCCATTATCAGTTAATAAGTTCTTTCTTTATTTCCAACATTAATCATTCTTGTAATTTCTTCACGGAAATTTCATTGAATTTCAATTCGAAAAGATTACTAATATCCTCCAAAAATGCTAAAGAGTATATTCAAAGAATATATTGCAAAACGGTAATAAAAACACAAACTTTAACGTAAACGTCGGCTTTTTAGTGTTTTTACGACAGGAAATAAGATAGATAATTCATTATAAATCAATCCTTGCTCAACAGTAAATCACATCAAATTTCAATACTGATCTACTTTTAACATTTTAATAAGCAGCTGTAAATTGTAATAAAAAATTACTCAAAAATTTTTTTCATCAAGAGATATGAATAATTCAAGCATTTCCTTTAATCTGATCCAGTTGAAATAATTAGCACATCAATATGCATCAAATTTAGTATAGTTGAAATGATTAGTCCTAAAAATATAACTATCGGAGCAAATCAATACTTCTCATCCTTCACTATAATTAATTCTTCAATGACAATATTTTTTTTACTTAACTTTCACTAATCTATTTTGTCAGTTAGCTAGAAAGAATATCAGAATTCGGAAGAAATAATTGAAATAAATAGAAAAATCGTTAATGCGAATTTAATGGGAATAACAGAGAAGAAAAGGATTGGAAAATTTGTTACCGTTGAAATAAGAAAAAGAGTTTTCACAAGTTCAAAAATAATTTTTCTATAAAATTTACTAAAGTAAGATAAATTATAACAAAGACTAATGAAAAATTTGCCATTCTAATAAATTAAAATTTCGCAGTTTTGAAAAATAAAAAATGAGAAAGAAAATTTAGTTTGTGTTTTGCTTGCTTACTTGACAGCCTTTCAATCTTTTAATTTGATTTCTTTAGCTGAATGTGATAAACATATTTGAAAAAGTGAAATATTTCTTTTTCATTAATTGAAGATTTTGGTAGCTTTGCATGTTATGATTATCGTGATATCTAAAATGAATCCTAATGTTCATTGTAATAATTTAAATACAAAATTATAATAATTCAAAATAAAACAAATATGAATCACTCAATTGAAATTTCTTAAAAATAACTGAAAATATTACACCAGAGTATACTGAATGTTTTACAATATATTTCAAATTCTAAAATCATATTACCATTATATCAATCGTATGAATCACGTCAAAAAGAAAATTTAAGTTTCATTGCACGCAACCTCCAATAAGTCACATATAAGCACAATATCTCTGTTTTCAACGATTAAAATGCAATAAATAAAGAGTGTGATACGTTGTAGTGACTACATAATGTATATAACATCAACAATGACTACATAATATATATAATGTCAACAGTGACTAATGTAACATCAATGTATATGACTACGTGATATAACGTCAACGGTGATTACGTAGCTTATAGAAAGTCAGCGATGATTGGTACGTGGTGCGCACAAAGATGGAAGAGTTGACTTTGAAATGAACAGCGTGGTCAGTGATTAAAGAGGTTGGCCGGTTACATCAAAATGTGCAAATGTGTAAAATGTTTTAAATTGAGGAGGTGTGCTCGTTTACGGGTAGCACATGAGGAAATAAGATAGTTATGGTATGGATGAGATGAGAAAGAGATCATGAGATATACTGAGAGCTTAGCTATTAAACATATAGAAATAATAAGAGCAGTAAATGAATGAATGAATGATTTTCAGGAACATTCCTTTTCTCCCGTTTAAAACATATCAGTTGAAAACTTTAACATCTTCCACAACCCATTTTGAAAACGATTTTCTCATTAACTAAATTTCAATGCTCTTAGAGAAGTTTCTAATCGATAATAACAAACAAAAATCCCACAGGAAAAAATTTTCCAAGGATAATGATAATTGAATATTTTGTGATAAATGTAAGATAATTAATCATTTTTGTCAATGAAAACGGGTGAAAATTGGGTGTCAGTGAAATTGTAAAAACTATGAAACTTGTTTGAAATATATCTGAAATGGCATTAAATTGGATTAAATCTTAGCATTAAATATAATAACTTTTTCTTTTATTTACAAAAATATAAAAATTATTATTAATTATTATTTTTGATTAATTCAATTTTTGAAAGAACGAAATAAAAAAGAAAAAGAAATCATTTCGCAAAACAAAAAATAATAATTTTGCATCAGAAAAATAAGCAATTAAGTAAAGTAAACAAATTTAAAGGAAAGTGGCAACCAATTTTTGAAGGAATAATTATTAATAGTAAATTACTTAATTATTTGCTTTTACTAATTGTTTTTTTTTAATTCAATAAGTGAAGGATGCAAATTTGGAAACAATATTAATTATTTCTGCAATATTTTCACAAAATTAAAATATTTTAAACTTATTTACCTGACTGCTTAATCGGGAAGAAAATTTCCATTTAATATAAAAGTTTGCCAATAAAATAATGAGAAAAATTAATAAATTAGCAGATAATTAACAATTTTTCTTAATTAACTTGATTAAAAGTATCATTTAAATATTTAATGATTTAATGTAATACTATTAAAAGATCATTATAATTATAGTTTGATTTGATATTATTTAATTTTAATGAAATTAGCATAAACAAATATTGTCCTGCTTTTGTTAACTGTCAACAATAACATAAGGTAAAACGATTAAATCATAAATAAAGAAAAAAATTAGAATTTCTGACAAAATGATTATAAAATTTTAAAGCAAAAATATTGTTGACAATAATATTAACAAAAAAAGAAAATGCTGCTAAAATAAAATTATTAAAAAATTTTCGAAGTCTTCTTTATCCATTCAAATTTCAGTATTTCAATTTCAAAACTTTTTTTATGAGAATTAATTAATTAACTAATTAAGAATTTTTATTAGCAAATTATTACTAGTAAAATTAAACTTAATATTTTACTATTTTTATCGATAATTATTGATTTTTGAGAAAGATTACATATTAACTTTGAAATATTAGAAATTTACATCATCAAATTAAATTTATTTGAAAACAATCTTAGTTTTAACCAAAATATCATTATTATTTCATTAATTTTTTATTTTTGAAGTATTTCCACTTTATCGTTTGCTTTTACAGCAATATTTCGATATTTACTATTTCATTTAAATATTAATTTGTTTTCAAATCTTCATTGGTTGTGTAAGATTATTAGTTGAAATTTTCGCATAAGCTTTTATTCAAATAAATCAATCATCATCGAAAATTGGAACAATTAGATTGAATATTTCAGGGTAAGTGCTAAATAATTCATGATATTGTCATAAACCGCAGGAATTATCATCATAATTGAATTATACGAAACATAGCAATTCGCAGTCAGCGAATTGTTTAAATTTGATAAATTTACAGAATTAATAGCAATTGATAACAAGTTATTATAGTAGTAGCATTAATACGTCCATCAATTGGATGATAAGATTGTGATTAAATGAAAACAGCTAATTGATCAATAATTCTATTCCATCGTATAATGTCATATCAGAGATAAACATTTTAATAACAAAAAACTTCTTAATCATTTATCGTTTTCTTCTTTTGATTGGTTATCGTCTCAAACATTTTTCTCCGATGTAAAAAAACCATTTATCGTTACAGGAAGTTTAGTTCTCTATTATTATAATTTGAAGTATCTCTCGAATGTATGCTATTGAATATCAAATTAAATTCATACTTTAATTGTATAATTAGGAGTTTTTCTTAATAAAAGTTGATATTCAAATTATATTCATTAAACTAAAAAATTTAATTTATTTTAAACTAATTGTCATACTTGAAATTACCTCACAATATTACGAAAGAAAAAGAAAGAGGTAAAGTTAGGAGAGAAGTAAGATAAAGTGGAACATTGGATGTTTTATTTTTGTATAAAACTTGTAAATTCTGTTCCATCATAAATTTTGTGAACCATTCTGGTTTTTGCATTAGGTGTTGTAAATTGCACATGAAACATATATGAATGGAATTAATAGAGAAACTTCTATGAGATAATTGATAAATGATTTCATTTCACGGAATTTTACGTAAATCCATTTGTTGAAAATTGAAATTTAGTGTAAGAAGAATAAAGAAAGTTTTAATTAATTGATTAGAAGGGAAAAAAAACCCCAAAGGCTGTTCTTTTATTTCAAACTGATTTGTTATGACCCAATTCTGGAGGGGATTGCAAAACCACAATTCAGCAGAATTCAATTACTATTATAATTACTGATGCAATATTAACCCATCACTATAAACCAGATTTGATGTATATGCTTTCTGCATTACTTCAAAACTTCAATTTCATAAATTTATCGCTTGTCCACTCCTGCTCTTCCTTGTTTTTCTTTCTTCTTATTGATGATCACAACGCAATCATTGGAAATTCCAACACTAATTTTTTTACAACCTTTTTTATTTCAAAGCTTTTATTGAAAAATTCCTTCAATTTTTTAAGGATTTTCTTTACAATGGTGAAGTCAGCTTGATCATCTTAACATTAACGACGAAATACGGCACGTTTATGTGCCTTCTGTACCACTTTCAATTTACTGTTCACATGACCTTGAAGAGGTTTAATACCAGCATACGGCGGATCTTTAGTACCATGAAGCATAAGGGTGAACTTCTTCACCACACCGTGATTCTTATCGCCACCCTTCAAAAATAATTAGGAAATTTGGTTAAAATAAAAAAAAAGATACATATATCTTTCAGATATATATATATATATATATTTAGATATATCTTGAATATTTAATGCTAATTATATTTCCAAATCACTAATCTTCAAAAATATCCATAACTAGGACCTTATTTCTAACAAAAAGAGGTAATTTTAAAGGTTTTGAATAAAATTGCCCAGATTTTAATATTTCGAAATTTACCTGAAATCGGATAACCAGAAGCCATTTGCCACGTGGATTCTCACCCCAAGTATGTGTGGTCATAAATGGCCAGTTTGTGAATCCATTCTTGCTATCATTATCTTTTGGACGTCGAGATAAAATCATTGTTCTGTAAAATTTCTTTTAAAAAAAAAAATCTGAATATTTCAATAATGGCCAAAAAATTTTACTTTCATACTCCTGTTACCAAAAATTTCGAATTATTCCTAATATTTTGAATAAGAGAAATCTAAATTTTTTACATTTTAAACTTCCATTAACAAAAAAAATTATTTCACACAATATAACAGCAATAAAAAGTATTGTGCTTGTCAATTAATTTTTTTGTTTCGATAAATTTAATTTCTTAAATATTTCCAAAACAAAAAGACACACTCTGTGCCGGAGGGAGAAACGAGATAAAGAATGGTATCACCACGTCGGCTACTATTTAAGGTAACAACTGCTTGTACATGTTCCAAATAATTCACTTCTGTTGGTGTTCCCATACATGCATCAGTATTCAATTCCAGTATAAGATTTCCAGTTGATGGAATTTCGCTAAAATATTTTTTTAAATTAGTTGGGTTCAAATGAAACAAAATCTTAATAAATATCAGCAATTGCTGAAAATTCATTCAATTTATTCATTATTCAGCAAATATAATTAAAATCAATAATTGAATTAAAAGATTGTGAACAAATTCGTTACTGTGGTGTAGCAATAGTCCCAGCTTCACAATGGAATCTTGGAGGCGCTGTTTTCCAAACCATTGCTAACATAACCATTTCAGTTGCATCCAATACACCAAAACCAAACAAATGATTAAATTCCAAGCCAACGCCATTCATCTTCCATTCGAAATGAGTGCAGTTATTGTCATTAATTTTGCTGCTTTCCTGAAATAACCAAAGCCGCTAAGGTTTTTGTTTGTTGTTGTTGTTGTGTTTGTGTGTGTGTATTGCTGGGTGCACATCTGTGTACCTGTGTGTGCACTACTGTGAAAAGGCCATCAGTTAGCCATACAAAATGATATTTTATTCGATGTATATTACAAATTTTATATATTTTGTTAATTGATTTAGTTTAATTGGCCTATTTGAAGATAAATAAAAAATTTTCACGATTTTACTTTAATTACTTTAATGATTTTACTTTAATGCCAAGATCTGGTAAATCCCTGCATCGTCCATCAAATAATGAATTTCGTGTTGATGTTAGCACAGTTAAATGTTGCAAATCACGCCTAAAAACTTTTAAGAAAATTTTCACAAGTGAGATAAATGTATTTTGGAAAAAGAAATATAAAAAGAAATTCATAGAATCAAATCATTATTGAAAAATTTATAAATTTTAATTTTTTTTGATGGGTGAAAAATGAAAACAAAATATATCATAATTAAAACTATACCATGTAAGCATTGGATTTGCTTCTAATGCCAGAGCAAAAACACCAGCTGCTTCCGGTGCTGCTGCAGATGTTCCACTATGCGATCGCGTGCAACGACTGTACAAATCCGTTGTCGCTACTCCAGTTTCCGGATTTCGTCCTCCATTTGAAAATGTTGAAGCTAATGTTGAAGAGCAACTTCTGAAACTCATTTCAGGAAAAATATTTGTGATCATTTGTTACAAATCTGATTAACCGAGAGAGCGCAGTATTTGACACTTCGAAAGGTTCTTATGTCAATACATTTTATGGGTATCATCCGTTTAGGAATATCACCTAGACGTTTGTCCAACGTTTCTAGTGGCAAAACAATCCTTTAACATTTCTGATCAACCAATCGATGATCAGTTAAGCATTGCCTATGTTTGAAAGGGTTTCTCGTTATCAAATAAACAGATAAATTATAATACTCGTCATAATGCGCATTTTCGCCACTATTAATTGCAGAATTGATAGATATTGTCCACATTGAAGCAGCATAACCATCGCAGTTGCAATCATCTTCCTCACCGCCATCACCACTTGCCCATACAAAAATTGATCCTAAACCATTACGTCCCTGAAAAAAAAGAAGATCAATGCGATTTTTTTTACTAAAAGAAAAATATTCATTCATTGATTCATTTCAAATTTCAAAATTCCAAAGATTTTATTAAGGATTCTTTCGAACAAATAAAGCATAAATGCAACTAATCTCATTAACGCCTTTAACAATTGCACGCATTGTTGCATTACGTGGTCCATCAACTGTTTTTCCATCATCAGTTGGTCCCCAACTTGCCGAATAAATATGAATCAGATTTGGCTCATGGCTCATTGAATTAGCCTAAATTGTGCATCATACAGAAAATACTAATTTTTCGAAAAATTCGGTTAACATTTGCAAAAAAAGTTTTAAATTTTCAACTACTGCTCCTTTATCATCATTTTTTGATTATTCACAAAATTATTGATTTCAGTGACACAATCTTGAGAAAATGTACATTTTTACATACTCTCTCAGACTTTTGCAATACCTCAATGAGATCTGTCATGTACGGTTGATCGAGCATTCGAATACCCGCCACTTTACTATCATAAGCAACACCAACGCCGCAAATACCATTATCACGTGCTGCCGCTATTTCACCAGCACACCTGCAGTTTAGAATTTTAGAAATTTATTTCTTAATAAAATATCATTTTAGAAAATGATTTATATTTTCTTTTGTTTTTTCACTTCAATGAGAACTGTCCAAATACCATTACAGAAAGGTACTTAAGCATTTAAGCGTATGATCTTCAAATTATCCAAAAAATGTTTTTGAATTAACAGATAATAAAATTAATAACAAATTATTATTAAAATTGATAGCAAATAACATTTTTTAAAGGTTACAGATTTTCACAAAAAAAAGTGAAATTAATATGCAAAATATTGGAGTAAAAAATGAAAAGAAAAGTTTGAAATAACAAACCTTGTTCCATGTGAATTGAACCAGTCATCCGTGTACCTCGGATATGGGAATGGATCATTGGAACTGAAATCGTAACTAGCTCTTGCATTCTGAAAAGAAAGTTAAAGTTAACTACTCGAGAATTTTATTATTTCAAATCAAGAAGAAAAAATAAGCTAAAATGTGCATGGACATGTGTTGAAAATTCGACGTAAGAATTATAAATTAATTATGAAAGCACTAAAGTAAGTGTCTAAGTAAATACTCTGAAAAAAATGGAAGATTGGTTCCATTTTATTACTATTGAAATGAAACATTCTTCCGCTTTTTGTATCATAATATGAATGAATTTTTCATAGGAAAGATTTCATTGTTCCTAAATAACATAAATTTCTTCTGAAATTTTAACCGAAAATGGATCGAAATAAATATTCATAAAAACATTATCAAAAGGCATTATATTAAAAAGAATGCATTATATTAATTTCTGTTATTGTTTGCGATATGCAAAAATTCAGTGAATAAGAAAGAACTGACGAAGTTTTTGGCTAGATCCGGATGCATATAATCGACACCATCATCCATAATAGCTGTTGTTACATTTTTACCGGTAATACCAAGTACCCAAGCTTTTTCGACATTTAAATCAAGTCGTGGTTTACCATTTGCTTGTCCAATATTATTCTTAAAAAACATTTTGAACATATAAGTGATTTCAAATATTATTTTTCAATTATCAAATTTCAACTTCAGAAATTTCAACATGAAGTTTTCTATTTTGATTATTGATTTGATACAAGTTGTAAAGTGCGGTATTTTGAGTAAATATTTAGCAATTGAAACTGGTGAAACTTTAATTATTTTTAAGAAATTAAGAATTGAAAAATAGATGGATGTATTCTTACCAAATACCACTGATATTGATAGAGAGGATCAGTTGGTGATTGCGCTGCGGTGAAATCAAGTTGCTGCTGTAATCGTTCCTCCAATGCCCTAAAAAATTTTTGCATTTAAGCTCAATTCAAATTATGACCGGTGACCAACACATAATTTGTTATTATGACATTCAAAGATTCAATTCTGTCACTAATAGATCAATCTACAAGAACCTAGTAAACAAAAGAAATTTTCAATATATCCGCATTTTTAATTGAGTGTTCAATTTTTAAAACAACAAGTAGAAAAAATTTAACGGAAAAAATTGAACTAACAAATAGTTTTACAACTTTTATAACTTGAATTAATCACAAGTACTCACCTATATCCTCGCTTCACACGTTTGAAACCCGTTAATTGTTCTACATGCACCACCTGAATTTGTAACTATTTTTACTTTCAGGATAGGTACAAATATCTATTTCATTATGCATGCTATGAATGATTTCTCAATAGGTACATTTAATTTGTACTAATTTTTTTACTTCAAATTAACAATATATTTTTTGTTCGATTATTATTCGGTTGTAATTAAAAAAACAAAAATAGATTGAGAATTTTGAGCACTTCTTTTGAAAATTTCTCATTAAACTTACATCATGGTCATCATTTAGTTTCTTAAAATGAGCGACTGAACGCTTTGTTCGTGCATGTGATAGGGCTGGCTGGATAAAATGCCAATCAGTTGTGGAGCCAAGAACCTTAAAAAAAGAAAATAATAGTTATCCATAAATTAATTGAAGCTATAAATTGAAGCTATAATAGCTATTTATTGTTCGGTGGAAAATTTTCAAGTTTCACTGCTGTTTATACATATGAGAGAGGTGCAGAATAATCAACTTGAAATAAATAAATAAATGAATAATTCTCTAATCGAACTGAAATAATGCAATCAAAATAATCCTAAATAACCGAAAGATTTATCATTCGTAACATCATATCATTAATTTTGGAAAAGTGAAAAGTAAAATTTGCAAAGTACATAAGACATTTCAGTAAAACTAGCTTAATAGTATATCACGTACCATCTGTCGCAACACCTCAACATCCTCACGGTGACGGTGACAACAAGTAAAAAAGTATTAATTCTTAAATGCAGAATCAGTCAAATTAAATGATGCCATCCACGTGGAAGCAATTTAATTTATACGTACAAAATTATTATCATGTGTATTTTCCAAAATTACTGTTACGTACATTTTACAGAATTATGAGACACTTATTAGCTTCGAAATGTTCAAACATGATAATATGATACAGTTGAATGGAAGACTTACGGGACCACGATTAATAAATCCATGTCGTTTAGCTATTATATGGGCATTTTCAATACCCGGATGTTTGATGTGAACATAGAAATGATTGGTATATATTTCAATCGCATTGCAAGATGTACAAAATAAAAACAACAGGATACCATATATGCTACACTGTTGCCATTTATGCCATCTTCTCATATCTGCAAAATTAAAATATTAACAAAGTTGTTGATAGAAATACACGAAATCATTTTCGATAATGAGCAATGTTGTAAGATGAAATAATTTCCAATATGTATTTCATTAACATCAATTTAACTTCAGCAAAAAAAGAAAAAAACAGAATTAAATGATATGAAAGTAAGATAAGAAAGCGGAATGAGACATGAAATCCATCGCACACAGTTGAAATCGATAAATAAGCCAGAAGCCTTGACGCATAATTAAGTGAAAGAGAGTTTGCAGGCTTATATGAGAAAGCCAAGCCTTCTCAAACTGATGCATGCGTCATCACTTATTCTATTATTATTTAAAATATTTTATATATATCATAAGTTATTCAAATTATTTACACAATATGGAAATAAACTAAAGTTATGCTGCTAAACTATTAAAAGAATATACGTTAATTAGATGTTATCAATTCATCATTGATATTGTCATTTCGACCATAAAAATATCTATGGCCGAAGAAATAGGGTGTAGTTATAAATTTTGGGATGTAGTTATAAATTACTTTCTCTTGTTAAAATATATTGAACTCTTCTTATAATTCCCATTTCTTGTTAAAATGCATTGAACTCTTAATGAAAAACTTTTGAATGCCCTAAAAATAATTACAGGCTTTCATGAGAAGGCCAAGTCATCTCAAACTGATGCATACAACATCTCTTTTTCAGAATACTATAAACTGAAATGATAAATATTTCTCTGCGGGAGAGAAATATCATTTCAGTTTGTATTTCTCCACCATTTAAACTATTCATTTACTTTTCCGCTCTCATTATGTTTAAATCATAATATATCTTCCTCATTCCAGGCCGTTTTAATAGCCTGATTTTTAACAATTTTTTTTTAAATACTCTATAATCTTTTGTTTAGGTAAGTTTTAGTGAACATTATAAACAGAGATTTGATTAATTTTCAACAACAAAAAGTAAATCAGATTTTTGTTTTTAATTTTCTACCCCTATAAAAAGTTATGTAATACAAAATTAGAAAGTTAAAAGGATCAGTTGCTTAAATATCTTAATGAATCCACTTTAATTTTAATTACAGAATAAGTTTTTTCCCTTATTTTATGTTGGAAATGAATAATAATTTAAGCTGAATATTCAAGGAGAACTCGCAAAGATTGAATATTTCATTTCTTACAAAAGAAGACACATTCATCGATGCCAACACATAAAACTGATCATTTCAATAAAGCTTTACTTATTGAAATAATGCCCGGTGAAGTTAATCTAAATTTGCATAGGTGGAGAATTTTCAAGAAAAAACAGATATCGAAAGAAAATAATTAAGGAATTTGATTATGCCTCCATAAGTTTCCATTGCCATTAATTGCATTCTCTATGCTAAGCTTAACAAGAACTAAAGAAAATTATCAGAAAAGTATGAGTTAAGCTTTTTTCTTCTCTTTCTTTATCCCACACTATTTCTTTAAAACTAAAAAATAAATGATTCGGATGTAATAAAAAAATGAAGAAATATGTGGGAGCTAAAGGAAGTCATCAAAAATGTATGAGTTAAGCTATCGAACAGAATATTTACTCGCCTTTTGTCAGGCCTATAAAAGGTCGATATCAATTACTTTCAACACTGCGAATCAAAAATCTATTATTAGAATTTCATTTGAACTAATGCATTAGAAGAAATTTAAAATGGACAAACAAAATTCTACACTATTCAATTTCAATCTGCAGCATTGTTGCTTTTAAGGAAATGCGTAATACTCAAAAATTACGTAATTATGTGTAAAAGATATTTACATTGTAGCTATGTGTTTATGACGAGGTTTGGCTAATTAAAACCGATAATTAGTTTTGCTTGGCTTGTTTAAGGTTTCATATAATGAATAGAATCATTTCAAGTTTGTGAAGGAGAGAGAAAGGGATGAAAAGTTCTCATTATCCAACTGAGCTAAATGAAAATGAAAGTATTAATAAATAAAGGGATATAAGTTTTCATCCAAAATCAAACATTTTTAAAATTTTCATTCATTTAATAACTTATTTCATGCTTTTATTTTTAGCATTCTTTTTTCTATTAGCTTAATTAATCATCAAAATAACTGACACATTGAATAAAATTTTTTCGAAATTTAATAAATGCAAAAAGTCTTATCTATTTGTTGCATGAAAGGATCTATGGATAGTACTCACTTCTATCTATTTTCAACATTGTTATATATTCTTCTCTCTTCCTACTCTCACGCTTCAAAGATAACAAATAAATTCGGTCATTTTGATCATCCATCCCTTACTTAAAAATGCTTTTAGCTGTCACATATTTATTTCCAATAGTAATCAGTTAATGATAAAGGTGATAATGTTGAGAATGATGCATAAAAAGGATTTATCTACGAGTTACATCAATGATACATTTGTAATGAAAGATTTGTTATTAAAATGAAAATGTTTTCGCAAGTTAAAAGCAAAGTAAGATATTTCAAATAATCTTATATACTTCAAATAATCTTACATTTCATAATGAAAAATTAAACAAGAGTTACCGTAACCAAATCCAGGTGATTAATTCATGTACAAAAAAATCTCGATAAGTTGCAGTTTTCATGCAATTATTATAATTAAATCCGTAAAAATGTATGATATTCATTAATTTAGTTTCATGATGGACAAAAGTATTTTTAAGAAAACTAATAATTTCATTAATAGTTTAATTATCAATAATTTAATTTCTAACTGATTGCTATTAAAAAGTTTTGGTATTTCATCGTTATATATTCATTTGATTATTGAAAATGTATAGAAATATTTTTGATAAAGCAAATTTCAAAAATTAAAAAGGAAATAAGAATATATAAAAGTAATAAATGGATCGGAGATAAGTTTATTGAGAATGAAAATTGAGAAAAAAAGGAAAATTTCAAAATTAAATTAGATCAAAGTATTCGTTTTCAAGGGACAAAATGTACTAACATAAATAGTTTATCGATGAAATTCATAAGAGAATGAAAAGGAGAGAGAGGGAGAAAGAGAGAGAGAGAGAAAGGGAAAGGGAGAAAGTGACAGCATAAATTAAGCAATGGCAGTGTGACAGATATAAATTGAAATAAATAAAAAATAAATGAGAGTAAAAGAGTAGCGGTGAAATAGATGATAGAGGTTAGGACATATTCCTCTTAGATCTTAGACCTTAGATCTCTTTTAACATTAATTATTTATCATTTCAAATGAAATATTGAAGGCCTGAAATATTGGCATTAGCTTTTATGCTAATACATTTAGTGAAATAATAAAATCTTAATGATAACTTCCGTTTTGTTTTTGTTGTTGGCTTACTAACTAATTTTATGAATTTTTCTCAAAACAATATTTTTACCTTTCAATGTCTAAAACCAAAATATTCACAACATTTTCAATAAATTTATAATAGTTTTACAATTTAAAAGAGATGTTAGTTGTTGTTATTGAAGGAAATGAAAGCCTGTCAATATTACATAAGTTAAAAGAAAGAGTAACAGAAAGAGAGAAATGAAGCAACCAAAGAAAGATTAAATCACATTGCGCTTTCGTTTTAATTTATTGTTTTGCCTTTAAACAAAGATTAAATAAGGCCTGAAAAAACCGGAATTATCTGGACTATCTGCGTGATAAAACATTGAATAAATATGAGCTTCTTCCAAGAAATTGATTATCAGGATATCATGCAATTATCAATTAGAATGGAACAATAATTGATATTCTAAAGGTGTGCATTCTTGACATTTTCAGCATCTATTCGTTGAGCTTTCTGCGATTTCTAAAATCATTTTCTAGAGCACCAGAAAATATTTTGAATATATATTTTTTAAAATAATTTCAGCTATTTGTACATAGAATGTCTATATGGCAATAATAACTTTTGAAGCATTTTCTAATTTGCGTATATTATTTCAATTCTTCATATTTATAAATTTTTAGCCGACCGTTTTTCAGTTAGTGTTAATTGTTTGCAATCTTATCATTGCATTTCTCATTTAAAAAAAATTAAATTTTATATGACATCAATTAATGCGCAAATAGATTTGTTTCTCACAACGACAATATTACATGTTTTAATTTCTTAATAATACAATTGATACAATCATATAACATCGAATTCTAGCCTACTTACACATATTAAGCACCATAAGTTATAGCAAAAAATGATAAGAATCAAATGATAAATATAAATGAATAAAAAATTCCTTAATGAAAACAAAGAAATACATTTAACTGAATGTGTAAATGTATTTGCCACTATCAAATAAATAATTTATCTATGCATCGAAGTAAAATTCAACGTTTTGCTACATTTCTGCGTCATCCTTTTCTGCTTTGTTTTCAATTCTCTTAAAATCAATGATATATAACATAATATAAAGTATGAATAAGGATCTTTATCAAATAAACGAATTTTAGCATCTTATGATACTAATTCTAATCTTTCTAATCTTTTTTTCCAAAAACTTTTTATTTATGGATTTTGTTTTTCAATACTACTCTCTAATGTTTTGCTAAGATCACAAATGAGACCCCAAATAGGTTCTGTATCTTTTAGACGACAAGCCATCTCTAAGATATTTTCGTTGTCCTCAGAATTCATAAATGAATCACCAGAAGAAACAGTGATTGGAATTTTAGTTGCAGGTTGGATATTCGATCGTTCTATAGTTGAATATTCGATCTTATCTGGTCCTACGAATTCTGAAATTTGTGGAATAGGAGACGTTAGATCGTAATATGTACTTTTGTGAAACGATGTCATCTGCGATTGATAGTTTTCTGAATCATCACTCTTCACTGCTGTATCATCTGTAACGATTGCTTCGCCATTGTTTTCAGAAGATGACAATTCTGTTTCTAGATTATTATTAAGCGAATAAAAATTGATAGTATTTGTAGTGCTAATATTGTAGATTGATTCCGCATGCCGGACAGGTTGATGATTAGATGTTATATTCGTATATGTAATAGCAACCGGAAATAGATCTTTTTCGACTGGTATTTCGGTTGAAAATAAGGAATAAGACTTTGAAACTTCTTTGGGATCTTTATTTGATACGCTCATTTGAGTATTTAAGTTGATATTAGAATCTTCAGTAGTTTTAAAACTATCATCTGTGGCTACATTAATTAATGTAAAAGAAGCAGCGCTAATTCCTGATTCAGGTAAAAGACCAGATTGATCCATTGTAATGAATATTCCATAGGGATCAATTGTGGTCGTATTAGAAATATCACTTCGTTGACCAGTAATATACAATAGTTCGTTAGAACTTCTCCCATTTGCGCTTCCAGAACTGAAGCTGCCACTCGATGTAACTCTTCTTTCATTGATTCCTTCCAATTCGCTTTGAATTTCTTCACGGGATAACAATGAATCATCTTTGGTATTCCCAATTATATACGCCTTATATGACTTATCTGTCGATAAGTTAACATTCTTGGAAGTATCAGTGCTGCCAAATTCGCAAGGATAAAGAGGGCCATTTAGATTACTTTCTGCAGCACCAACAGCAGAGCCTGTATCAGAAGCAATGCTTAAATCTGCTCTGGAATCAGAAGCAACAGTTGAAGACAATTGGAAAATATCGCTCGAATCTAAAGTTAAATTCAATCTGCCGCTGGAATCAGAAACTGATTGTGTGGCAATCAATTTCGTGTATCCATGTTTCCTTGTTACGAAAGACTTCATTCGATATCCACCAATTTCAGAAGTTCCTGTTTGAGCAGTTTTTGCTTTTGTTGAACTCAAAGTTGATGACAGTGGAGGAGTTGTGATATGTGATAAGCGATACAGTTTCGGTATTTCTGAAGTATAATTAGCGTCACCATTGGTTACATTAATTTGTGTAGCAGGTTTTGAGGATGAAGAATGAGATTGAGAAGGAATGTAAGTAAGAGGTCGAAGGTCACTAAAATTGACAATTTTATGACATTCTTTGACAAAACCATCAAATCCAATGGTCACTACAGCTGTTTCAGAACGCCCATATTCATCAGTCGCTCGGACAGTAGCGCAATAACCATTTCCTACTTCCGCAGGTTGTATTTCTTTTTTTAAGTTTATCACACCTGGAAGTATTATAAATTTTTTTGCCTCTTATCAAAACGTTCTAGTGCTAAAACTTTCCAACACTTACGTTTCTCTTTATTCCAGGTTTTCAAAAATTCTTTGATTTAACTTGAAAATTTAATCAGTTAAGACTTAATAGAGATGTGATGTAAATGGAACCATCCTTACTTAGATCTCAAGTTAATATAAAGATGGTTTTAATATAAATATAAAGATTTTTAATACAAACAATATAAAGATAAAGTAACTTTCCTCTACTTATTCAAAAATAATGTCTTCAACTATGTCGATAATTCATTATTTTCAATTATGTTTAATTAATATATCAAGATAAATCATACCAGTTTGAGGATTTATACTGAAATAATCATCCATTTCACTAAAATTTGAATAAAGTTCATAACGCAAAGTTGATTGATTTGCTGAAGTAGCCGTAATATGTGCAATTTCATTGCCAACATGTGGCCAATTTTCAGTTACAAGTGGAATATTATAAACAGGAAATTCGAAATGTGGACGAAGGAAGAGCTCCGCATTGCCATAAATAATTTCGTATGCGATAAATTCAGATGCTTCTAATAGATTATCATCGATAAAATGGACAAATCTCTGAAATATTGCCATATCTTGCTACACTTCCTTGACATTGTATAGGACCTCTTTTTATGATTATATTACAATTCCATTTTTCATAATGTACTTATTTAGTATCACACTTCTCTCAATCCATTTTCAAATAACTGCCATAATAAATGGGATAGGACCAATTTCAAAGAAATGAATCACTCACTCTATCAGTATTTGAGCTCCAAACATTTCGTGGATCAATGAGCTTTAGCGCACCATTTTTGGTAATCTGATTCACTCGCAGTACTTCGAAATCATTTTCCAAATCAGTTGGATATGGTATTTGTCCATAAAATGGTGTGAGTTGCTGTTGTGATTCATTGAGTCGAAATGTTATAATCTGTTGCCGAAAAGGTTTCCCATCACTGATACTACTTTTTTCGTTGACCTGAAAAATTTTTTCTCTTTCTAAAATGATTTGAGTATTTAATTGATACTAGAAATAATATTGAAAGAAATAATGTAACTTTTATATTTTATCAAAATGACTTATAACCAAAGCATATAATGAAAGAATGGTAAAATATAATGTCAAAATGAAACAAAGAAAAAGTTACATTAACAAAAATCAGTGGCACAATGGTACGCATTACAGCCTTCTGCACATCATAGTAAAACAATGAAGCTGGATTGATCTGAGATGAAACCAGAAATTTGATTGGTGAAATAAACTGCTGGATAGTAAAGGTTTGAGTATCCTCAAGTTCGATCAATTCGCCGTTAACCGAAGTTGTCACTTTGAAGTCATGAATTACTCCATTCTAAAAACAATTCAAATTTTTGCACAATGTTAAAATGTTAAAATTTTTTTGCACAATGTGATGAACTAAAAAAAATGAAGCTGTCATTATCGTATTCATTAGAATATAAAATATGAAAAAAAGATATATTACAAAGTCGGTGCGTTTTCAAGTTGTTGCCAACGGCTAATAGATTGAAATTAAATTTTGCCTGTCCGAAGTCAGTAGTAATTTTGTATAGAACATTAACAGTTTTCCCGGATTCAATGTTTGCAATTATAAAATGAAAGTTGGAAAGAATCTCGTCTTCAATGTCACTATCACTACTACTGATAATGCCATTGATTCGATAAGGTATAAAATTTTTGACGCTATCTTTCGATAATACTGATATTCGAATTTCCTCCACTTTGACATTCTTGAGATTTGAATAACTAAAATCACAAAAAATTATCAATTCTTGCTCGTTCGGAAATTCTAAGCTATTTTTCATTATTCCCACAAATGCCTAATTCACATAACTTCCGGGTTTTAGATACTTGTCGAATCAAAATTATGTCAGCATTCTATTCATTCGATATCACAATTGCATTTTTCCTTAACGACTCGACTTTCTGGAAGAAGTCTCGATGCCCAGTTAAGCATTCTATTTTCGATATTATGTTCATAAGCTAGATTTAAATAATTTTGTGGGATTGTTGAAAACTTCAATTATCTTTTCCATTTATTGTCTTCATTCTCAATCACAGCAAAGTGTGGGGTGAGAAAGAAAATGAAAAAATGAGCAATTTATTTATTTTGCAATATCGCAATCTAAAATATCACATACCCTGTGTTCATAAAAACGATCATTACGTTAAACGTAGCCTGAGGAACATCTGTGTCTTGTGCAATTTTCGAATGTGTTAAGTTTGAGATTAAATAATAAATTTTCAACGACGGTCGAGGCCGAAATATCACCGTTTGTGTTGCTATTCGCTGCACGCTTCTGCGACCATTTTGTGTAAATTTCAAAATCAGAATCGCCTCAAACTAAATTAGTTAAGGAAACTGATATCAAATATATGATTTTTTTGAATTTTTGTAAAAATGTTAATGCTAAGCAAAAAAAGTTGTAGTGATCTGATGAATCGCAAAATCTAACAATTAAAAAGGACTGGGAATTCAAAAACAACCATACAAATTAAACCACCGACCTATTTAAAAATTTTATCAATAAAAAATTTTTAAGCTTTTAAAGTTCATGGAATTTGTTTATAGGTGATTTCAAAAGATTGTACATTTAAACATCTTAATATATTGGTAAGTTTATCTTGAAGCGCTTGTGCAACTTGAAAGTTCTCTTGTGATATTTCCTGTGCTGATGCCAGATTCTTGTCGTTTAATTCAATATTTAATAGCATACCTGATATTCAGTTTCATGAATCAATCGCATATTTTTGACTGGCTTGAGATTCCAGCTTGCGACAAATGACATATTTGGTAGCAGTTTCGAAGTATGATCAATGCTGCCAATTCCATCTAGCATAACCGGTCCAATCCAAAATTGCATGGATGGCGTTGCATCAGTACCTGATGATGTATCTGCACGACTCTGAATCATTTCTAGTGTTACTTTCACAGATTCTAGTGATTCCTTCTGAAATAGAAATTGTTCAGAAATTTCGGCTGTTCAAATTTCTAGAAGAAATATGTTTTATCAAGTGTTTGTTTTCATTAGGAGGAAACTTTGAAATAATTTTCTGACTCCATAATAATTACCAAGAACTTCCAGGCAGAGAAATTCCTTTGTAATCTCCGCATTAAATTAATGCATGGATATCTCTAGTAGTTATTTCAAATCAGAATTGATTCAAATATCGATGTTTCAGATCGCATTTTCTCATTAAAATACTTAAATTTTAAACCTTCTTGTTAATCACTTTTAATCGAATATTAAATTCGCCATTTTCATACAGCTTTTCGGGTGTTATCAAACTGTAAGCATAGGCACAAATATCTTCATAATCACTTGCAAATTTCAAAACTTGCTGTGAACCAGACATGTTTTCCGATTCCCACGACAACAATCTTCCAATGTAATCATGGAGCAATGCGAATGGATTATCGGTACCATACTATAATTCATTTATATCTCATTAGATCTTTTGCTACTATCATTAGAGAGATCTTTCGTTTTCATATATTGTGATCTATTGAACCTGCACAAATGGATCATTAACGAATTATAGTCTCAAATAGGAGTACCTGTCTTGCAAGTGTTTTCAATCGATCCGAGCTAATAATCAATTCTCGAGCATCTACGAATTTCATGCCCGAAATATTTACTTTAGAGGAAAGGCTTGATATTTTAGACCATTCGTCAACTGTTGCATTCCAACGATGCGCCAAAATCGCACCCCCTTTCTCATCTAAAATAGAAATAAGAAATGGTAAATGAAATACTTTAAAACTTGCAAACTAAATATATATTCATATCAAAATAAAGATCACCTTCTAATTTTTTGAATTCGGTTTCGCTAATTGCAAGCCCACTGTCCGACGACTCGGAAATACTTTCAAAGAATTTGCTGAACCATTTGTTATTATTAATTTCTTCGAAATGCTTGAATGGCAATAAGATCTATAAAGACTTTACAATGAAAAATTGTAACAAATGGTTTTGCTAACTCTTTAAACAAATTTTATAAATGGCACAGTTTTTCACGGCAGATAATAATCTATTTGAATATATGAAAGAGAGCATGAACATTAAAAAAACTTACATTTAGTCGTTCAAAAAACGCTTTATATAGAGCGACTATATCTACCGTTTGTGATGTTAACATCTTCAGGGCCGAGAAATATTTCTGCAATATATCATCTGCCTTTTCGTTGACCATAGTAAACTAAAGTTTTCAAATCTTTAAAAATTAAAAACGAAAACTTACCTCTTTCTCTCTTTCTCTTTTATGGTCAACAAATCTAAGGTCTTTTTGAGAATGATTAAGAGAGTAAAATTTATAAAGAGGAAAAGAAAATAGGTTTCATTTAATCTGTTCAAATATAATCATTTTATCTAATTGACTTTTCGAATGCTTAAAAGATTTACATTTTGATTATTTTTAAATGAAAATTGAAATGTCTGATTGAAATTTAATAACCTGATCGAATTGTGTCCATTGTTGACTTTCCCATGAGAATTTGTTTTTATTCAAAGATCGTTGTTGCGATATCAAACAATAACTATCCAATGAAGAAGCACATCTGCATGAATTATTTCAAAAATTAGAGAGATAGAAATTATGTTCTCAAACAGTTGCATTCCAATAAACTTAAAGTTTATAGAATCCAAAAATTTAACCGATAGATCATTTCCAAACATTGTATTCATTTTTGAAATTAAAATTTTCTCAAACTATTTTTAAACAAAATTATTTTGTAAAATTTACTCAAGAAATTGTCTAATTTTATGGAAATTAACACCAGCCGTACGACATTCTGCAATCATTACAATAAACGTTGCTATGGTTTGCAATGATATTGTATCGTCCGGAATATATTTCCAAGCAGAGCCACAAGATGCTGCCGATACATATTGTAAACGACAATACTCCTTCACCCTCATTGCGCAATTGCAGTAAATTGTTGTTTTAACCCAAATTGATGCTTCTGCTGGCACAGTTTGTAGACCAACTGCAATTTACAAAATTTAAACTTTTATTTAATCTATTGATCATCTTTTCATCGACGACTCTTTCATTTCAACCTTAGCAAATACACCTATCACATTTATGTTGTTGTACTGTCCAGAATAGCTAACTGTACAAGTCTAATATAGGAATTAAATTCATTTTTTTTCCAGACATTAAAATAATGATAAAATTTTAGAAAGGCAGGATATAAGTAATCTTTGAGAACTTATAAAGCAAAAAATCCTTGCAAAAGATATTACTTACTAATTGTTTGTCAATTTTGTTTCAAAATAAATAATTGGAAATGTTAAGAACTCGAACTACCTTCACAGAGTTGAACTTTATCACTCTGTTTATTCCTATTATCAGTTAATATCATAACACTTCGCATGTAATTTGACATCGAATTTTGTACCATATAAATGTATGGAATTTGCAAGGCAAAAACTGTGCATGCAATAGCACTTTCTGTCTGATTTGATACACGCGATAATTTAGACTTCATGTGATAACCATCACCCAATCCTAATCCATTTCTAACATCAGCCTGCAAAATTTTTTCAATTTCAGCAAGCACTGTTTGAAACATATCACATTTTTCTAATTTAGAAATTCAATTTAAGTAATTTACGCTCTTAAAATTTTTTGAATTTTCTTGCATTTACAACAAATCATAAAATTTTAACAAACCGTTGCAAAGGTAAATGGAAGATGTTCTTCATGAATTTCAACAGAAGGCAAAACAGCTATATTATCACTTGGACCATCGAAATCACTACTTATCAACAAATTCATTTCCTCTGTGCCATTTACGGGTACCATTATTGTGGACGGTGTAAAATGAAGCTTTGGAAATGGTATCTGTAAAAATTCATATGAGTTGAAAGCAACTTTCATTCTTCAGGAAATTTCAACAAGCACAGCCATATAATCTCATAAATGATATGAGAATTTAAATTTAAATTTAGCATAAAGATTTGTTGCTATAAAAAAAATGATATATTCAAATGAGAATAATCTTTCTGGGTAAACTTTTCAGCTTACAAATGTAAGAGCATCGAGGAATTTGGCATATTATTGAAAGCTAAAATTTTTCAGGGGTCAAAGCTTAAATTTACTTTCTGTTGTTTATTAATTTCCTCCAACGATAGTTTTCCATCTTCGACAACTGGAGAATAAGTTGAACTAATCGGAGCAAATATAGTCAATGATGAATTAATAAATGATGGCTGAAATCAATTTTTCAAAGATTATTAATTAAAATTGTTAGGTAAATCAAAAAGATTGAAGGTTTTAATTAAAACTTTTAGTTTTAATTTTTGCTTAAATAAGGCATACCTGAACGATCATAATAACCATTGCATGGGTGGGAGATTTAACAGTAAGCTGATAAGTTCCTTCAATAATCGAAAAAAATATAACAGATCCTGTAAGAAGATTTACGCCAATCTCAAGTAACTGAATGCCACTGTATGGTTATTACAAAAAAAACATTAATTATGTAAATATTATCAATAGAAGCAGAATTTTCGGGATCATCAGAAAAAGGTGTGAAAGAATCTCTAAAACATTTCGATATCATTCACTCTTCAACATCGTTGTTATCATAAAATTAACATTTGCCTTTTTTCTTAACAAAAATCATTTTTCCTTCTGGTTATATATTTTTAAGAAATTTTATAATTCTCAATTACCATCAGATTTTGTATGCTTTTTATCATTATAGCCAAGTAAATCATTCCGGAGCATTATTTCTGCATCGTTGACAAAATGGGTTGCATTCAATGCGCTCAATTCATCCATTACTGTTATTTGAAAATCAAATGAATCCGAAGTGACATAATTATGATATTTCACCGTAAATAGTTCCTACAAAAAATGTTTGTTGAAATAATATTGAAAGAAAAAAATAATCCGATTTCGAAGCATAGAAGATTTTGCTTAATTTGAAATCTGAAACTTTACGATTTTTGGAATGTTTGAATTTTTGAAATGAAACTGAAGCGATTTTTGAAAACGATCTTTGAAATGAAATTTTTGAAATTGAAATGGAATAATTTTTTTTGCTGATGAAAACAATGTGAAGTTTCATTGATCTATGATTGATTGATGATGTCCATAGTTACTCTACTTCTATTCAAACATATCAAGTCTTAAAATTTTGGAAAATTCAATGATACCTTATTTCCGTCGAATAAAATCAAGTCACCAGAAATTGTCCAATTTGCAATTTCAACTGGTAGCAGTGGTCGATAGCTGAGAAAGAGTGTAAGTGTAGATTCCAGATTATTAAATTCCGTGATATTTTCCAGTGATGGTTTGGTAGCTATCAGAAATAGAGGACTGTAATCAGGTCGAATGGAAATTCGTGGTACAGAGGAAAATTGATAGCCTTCCTTATTTACAATATCAACCTGAATATGTGAAACTAAACTAGTTAAAACATTAACAAAATTAACTGAAGGATCATAAAATGTAATTGAGTAAAAATGAATAAACTTAAGGATTGCAATAAAATAGAAAAAATTCCATCCTCTATTCAATCCCTACTTTTTCAACAAATTTACTAAATAAACAATAAATAAACCGTAGCAATTTTTGGCGGTACTCGTGATGGAATGGAAATGAGTATCTCTGATGGATACGATACAAACATTGCTCTTTCACGTTCCACTTCTATTTGTTGCCTAAATTAAAATGCAAATGATTTTAAAAAATTGCTTCATATTTCTTCAAATCTATATTTACAGAACAACTTCAAATTTTAATTTAAAAAAAAACAAATCATTTTGTAATTAATCTTTAGTTACATTAGATTATGTGCTTCATTAACAAACCAAATTAATTTCCTAGGTGTATCAGTGCATTTGAATTGTAGAATAAGAGTAGTGTTGTCGAGAGTGTTCCCAGCAGCAAATGTAACTTCCATTGACTTTGATTCATCAACTGCTATACCTTTTATTATCTAAAAATTTGAATGTAACAAAAAATATTTTAAAAAATTTCAAAAAAAGAAAGAAATATTATAAACTAACATTTTTTTCAATAGACTTGTTAAGTATTAATAATTAATTGAAAAACAAAGAAAAGTGCCGACGAATTTAAAGTCCTTTCAAATTAATCATTCTTAGCAATTTTGAGGAATTTGAATTTATAGAGAACAGAGGACTTATTCAGAATAATATACTTAAAAAATTGCCATCTTTTTGAATGTTTTCCTATTCTAAAACGAATATGACAATCTTTTGATTAGATCACGACGATCCACGGGGTTTATTGAACATTCTCATTCTTAAATATAGTTATTCAAAGATCCAAACCTTTTCATATTTTACAATTTGTATTTTATCACGCGGTATGATTAATTCCAATTGACAATTCAGAAGCACTTCTCCGCCTCTATTTGTTAGCTCATAATTTTCATCAATTTGTCCACCTGGTTTCATTTTTATTTTAGGATTATATTCAATATCAAAAGTAGCCCATGTGACATTATTGGGTGATGTAATAGCATCAGGTTTTGTTTCTCCAGGATGTATCACAAACTGAAATCGACTACTATATATTAGAATATTTGGTATTAACAGCAGTTAATTCAGTCATAGAAATCCGTAAACCTTAAATTTATCATTTAAAGCATTCTGTAATTTCTAACAATATTCTTCTGACAATAAGAGTACTGTTCAGAATTCACGATTACTAATCGATTTACTTTTTGTATCATTTATTACATTTCATTCAATTCATACTTCTTCCTTATTCTGTTTTACTTTGTTCAAACTTCTTTATCAAATTTTCTTTCAGTAATTCTTTTTCTGCAAGACGGAATATTACAAAATATCCGGGACAGTAAACGAACGGAAAGAATGAAAAAAAAACTGTTCAGATTAAGTAGAAATAGTAACAGACCACTGATGTTGGATTTGTTTCATCGAATGGATATTGTATAAATTTAAAATGACCATCAGCCGTACTTATTGTTGTAGTATTCTCCATCAGCTTATCATTCTGATAAATCAACATTCTTACGGGAACATTACCGATGAACTACAATAGATTTCTAAAATATTGCGAAGAAATGAGCAATTTGACAAACTTATTTCAAACTTTCAAAATAATTAACATTGCTAAGTCTAAGCATTTCTTCATTCACTATTTCAGGAAAATATTATTCATTAATTATTTTCATGAAGATAATTAGCATTTGAAATGAGAACATACTTTTGCATTGTAATTAACAATTCCTTTAATCACTTTCATATTTGTATCATCAACGTCTTCAACTTCAGTAATCATTGGTGTATACATCGGTTTAACAGTTAAATTCCAACCAGCCTCATATCCACCAGTAAGCGAAGTGCCGGTAACGTTTACAGTATACGGTTGGATACGTCCAATTGGCTGTGACCAAAATACCATACCATTTGGAAAAATTGTCATACCATTTGCATCTGTTTCAATATTGAATATGGTATTTTCATGCTAAACAGACGATTAATCGCAATGTTTTTCCTATATTTAATTAATAATGAATAAAACAAAAAAAATGATTTTCATATATAATTTGCGCAATAAACAATAAGAATCAATTAAATAAATAAAGTTCGATAAATTTAAGCAATAAAAAGAAACGATTCTTTGTATTCTTCTTTTTGGTTAAATATTAAATTTATCATATTTTATATTGGAAGTTTTTTCAGGTAACAAACAAACAAACAAACAAACCTGAATAGGAATTTTGACAGTATACGGTTCACCTTCTACAGCCTCTATCAGTGTTTCATTGCTCAAAATTTCACGATTCAATTTTGGTAGTATTTTTGTCTAAAATATAACTTGCAATAAAAACTTTTTCCAAATTTTATAATAAAATTTTTCTAATAAGTCAAAATTTTAAAACAATCGATGAAATACAAAGTAAATTGTATTGAACGAAATCTACAACACAACTGGAAGAATCCATAAAATTTATTTTTGAGAAATATTTTTTTCTTTATCGAATTCTTCGCCATAGCCAGCAAAGGTAAAGTGTCGTTAATAGAAACATTTTAACTAAGATACATTAAATTTCAAATATTTCATAGCAATGTTTTCATTTGCAGCGTGCTGCATAATGAAATGATTATAGAACATTTCCGCTAATATTTTTAATAAAAATTTAACTCAAAGAACATAGTAAACTCATAAGTTGTGATATATCACCTGCTCACAAAATGCTCCTTTACGATCTGTCGGACACACACAAATTGCTCCCAAACAATAACCTTCGCACTCTGCTTGATTACATTCATTGTATAGAGTAAAATGAATCTGTAAATAAGAATAATTTAGGATAAGTATCTAAATTTAGTCAGAAATAATTGAACTGAAGCATATTCAAAATTTTACTTTTTGAGTGTTTTGTATTGCTAAATTAAGCATTATTAGGCATTTTCATTATTATCATTGGGCTAAACCCACTATTATCATTAAGATATCACTAGACTCATTATTATTAAAGCTTTGCTGCCATTAGGTTCAAATGCTGCGATATATTTTGCATGAAATTAAATTATTAGCATACCAAACGTTTATCAAGAAATGGAATAGCTTTATCGGATCCATATGGGATGATATTGAATAAATAACGGCCTGGCAAAGCTAAACTTGGAATTGTACAACGTACTAACGACGATGAAACATAGAAACCGTCGGCAGCTGTATTACCATATAAACACGTGTAACGCTTTGATGATACGCTAAAAACATGTTTAATGCATTTCACATCATTTTGATATCTCCATCTATTTGATAATAAAAACTTTCATATATGAGTTCACAAAATAATTAAATAATTATCTACAATATGAAGATTAAAATAAAATTCTAGGAAGATATAATAGTCATAAAATTTTCAGATAATTAAAAATATAAAAATTATTTAGTAGCTCTACGATAAGTAAACCAAATGTTTTTGAATATTAAAAGTTTATCAATGCATTTTAATACCTCTTTTAGCATCAATTCTCTGTAAACATTTTTAAAATTAATACATTCTGCGCCTATACAAAAAATCATACAAAAAAATGACTTAAATTTCTACTTACAATGGTAAATTATTGCCATAAACTAAAATATTTTCGCTCCTTTGATGAATTCCGGCAGCTGTTGGTAACACATATAACACTGCTGACAACGTGTTACATTTTTTGGTGGCGCAAATGTCACAATTTGGACCGGTCCAATCATCATGACATATGCAAGTTCTAAATAATTGTTAAATTTTTCGAATATTGGAAAATTAGCGAATAAAACAACATTCTAATCTGAAAAAGTATCAGTACGTTAGGAAAAATTGATAACATACAAATAAACATTATTGTTTTATTTGCGTATTGTTGATGGATCGCACGTAAATTTAATGAATGAATGTCACGTACGTAGACGTTAAGTGCTCGTACAATAAACTTAATGCCTATTTGAAACAGATATGACTTAGCGACAAAACAAAAGTCGCAATTTTTCGATGCCAATTCAATAATTCTTTATATTCGCAAATGTATGCTTCCATGTTTTATCTGATTTTTTCATAATTTATTACCTAATTTTAATATTTAATTTAAATTTCTCTTCCCTCATCTCCCAAAGGAATAACTTTTTGCTCTAAATGTGGAAAGAATCAGCTAAATTTTATATAATCTGTAAATTTTCCATAAATGAATAAATTCTCAGTTCTTCTGCCTTATTTCAATGGTAACATGCAAAATATTTACTTCTGATTTAAATTCAGCATTAAACATTTTTTAATCAGTGAACTTCGTTTTAACAGCAAAAGAAAATATCGATTGCAAGTTTTAAGAGTTATCGAATTGATCTAATTATCACTAATGCGACTATAGAATGCAAAAGATAAGGATCTAGAGTAGGTCAAAGTTCATACTTCAGTTGATATCTGAAAGATAAATTATAATGAAGTAAGGATAAAACAAAAATGATAAACCTTGTATTCGCATCGCAAAGTCCGTGAACACATTTGGCATCACACAGATTACAGGTTGGATCTGCACAAATTGAGCAATCGTCTCCGGAAAATCCATGGAAGCATTCACATAACTGAGGTCGAATGCAAATGCCGGAACCAGAGCAATTATTCAATTGATCACAAACTGCTTCCGAGCAAAACGATCCAGTCCAACCGGTTTCGCAAATACATTTATTGTTAACACATAAACCGTGGCTGTTGCAACTTGTGTTTGAACAATTCCTAATTTGTTTACTACAATCAAAACCTGAAAATCTTTATGCTTCCGTAAAAAGATGTAAATCTTAGAGATGATCTATTGAAACCTAAAATTTGAAGCACCATTTTGCAGAAGGATATTACCAACATTCTAAAATGCATTAAAATCCCAAAATACTTCCATTAAATGACAGATCGTTTTTCTGATATATCCTTTCTCCTTTTCCATTTTTCCCAAAAAATCAACTAACACAACTTGATCCATTTTAAATTTCAGCAGTTGTGGAATATAGCAATATAATATCTGTACTTGTTGAAGGTGAAAAGTTACCAACCTTCAAACATCGGTTCACATTCACATTCATTACGCGATACACAAGTACCATGCCCACTGCAATTATTTATCAAATGACAAGTTGGCTCCGAACAATCCTGTTGTTGCCAACCATCGAAGCATTTGCAAATATTTGGTGCTATGCAATAGCCATTTTGTGAACAATTTTTTAACGCTGAACAGGATATTTGCGCGCAGTCAATCCCTTCATATCCGACATTACAACGGCAAACATTCAAGTCTGAAATGTGCAAAATTTTTTCAAAAATTGAAAGCTGCAAATTATAGCAAAACTTTGCATTATGCAGAAACTAATTCATAATATTATCAGTAATCATCAAGAAATGTGAAAAATATCTTCGTGTGCATTAAGAGAATACGAAATGTGCCACTCACCGATACATTCTCCATTGTTAGAACAATTCGAAACAGCCAAACAATCCTTAGCAGCTCGTTTTTGGCCAATTAAATTGATTTTTGTTAAACCTAAAAGTTGTAAAAATTCTTATTGAAAGATTTTTATTCTTAATTAAAAAAAATGCTATCCATACATTTATATAAATTGAGTTAATTTGGAAAAATTTCAATAGTACTCTAATAGGTCAAGCAAAAGTTCAAAATGAATTTTAACAATTCAAAAATGATAAAAGTTAATAAAAGTTGTAAAAATTTATTTCGTCATGAACTAAGTGAAAATATTCATCATTTGAAATAGAACACTTTATAATTTAAGGTCGATAATTTAAAATATCGTTCTAATTAGGATTAATTATGATATCATTTGAAAAAGAAAAATTCTAACTTCTCAATTTGAAAGCATTTCCTTCAGTACTAAGTGTGTCATCATTTCTCCGATAGTTCCTAACATTCAGTGCCTAAAAAAGATTACTTCAATAATATTAATAAAACAAATTCTATTCATAATTAAACATGAAATAAATTTGTTACAATCGAATGAATTGTTGCAAATGAATGAGAATACTAGTCGCAGTATATATCGGAGGAAATCTCGTATATAAGATGATACATTTACCATCTCTGTATGACTGTGAAATTAAATCCACGTACATGTTCAAATAAAGATATAAGTTTAAAGGTAGTAAGAATTTCCTACTTAGCCTCTCTCTCTCTCTCTCTGTCTCTCTCTCTCTCTCCATCTTTTTATGAGTGGAAACAAGATTATAAGTTTATTGCGAATGAAAATTACGCTTAAAAATCTTCCATGCATAAGTGTTAAGTTTTCATTTTGGATTATAATTCGCTATTTTCGTCTTTTTGCTTTATAGCCAAATTCTTTTTATTTAAATTTTTGTTTTGTAAATTTTGCTTAAATTTACTGAAATTCTCAATATTGCTTATAATTAATTCATATTGCTTTAATTAACTCATTAATATAATGTAAATATTTATGCATCATTGAGGCAAGCAACTACATATGATAAAATCGTTTATATTTTCATCTCTGTTAATTATTTTACATTATTAAAGCTCATAGGTCGTATTGCATACGAAACAAAATACAAACCATTCGAACAATTTCTTCTCTAAAATTTTTAAAACTTCTTCCTACCAAAAAGCTACAGATTTCATCAAATTATTAATGACAGACAGATGTGAAAATTATTTGAATATATTTGTGTAACTTACTTTTTTATGTGCATCCTTACTATATATGTCAAATTTGTTATCATTTATTTGAAAATAAGGAGTTTGTTCAGCATGAATAGTAACATTTTTCAAAATAGAATAAGGAGAATTTTCTGCTGTAAATTCAACGATCCTTTCCAAATTGGTACGTCGTTTCATTCTCATACTTCGTTTTTCCACAACCAAAAATTGTTGATTGTGATGTTTTCTATGTTTATGTAACATTCTTCCATTTACAGATGCACATTTTTTGTAAATTTTCCTTAAATTTGCAATAATTTTAAATTTATAATTTTCTTCTGTTCATTTTGAGCTTAAATTTCATTTTAATATTTTGAAGCTCTCTTTCGCATCAAAATTCCTATCACTTTTAATTAATCCGATTTTTTTGCTAATTCAAAATAATTAAAAATAAATCAAATATGATTGACTTAGTTTTGTCATTCAATTGATAAATTGCTAAGTAATAAATTAATTGGCAAAATTAACATGATATTAGTTCGATCCAAATTAGTATGAGCACATGGTCGTGCGACAACATCAACAATATCGATAGGTTGATGTGTTACTACTGCAAAAACTGTTGCATAAATGGATGAATGAAACGTGAAATTGCTTCCTCTATTGATATAATGTGCTAAATACCAAACTGAATCGTTTTCACAATTTTTGTAGATCAATTCTCTAAAATTGATCACATTGAAATGGTTTAACAGAAGAGTAATAAAGGAAAAAAATGATTGGCTATAATTGATATAATCATCTTATCAACAATTCAACGACTACAGATTTATAAACAAATTTTTCTGAAATTAAAAAATTCTTAACAAAAGACTAACATTTCCTCCGCACCAGTTAAGGGTGTTATGCTGTCAACAATTAATGAGATAACACAATGTAATCTTGCAAAAATTAACTTAATATAATTGCCCATGAAAGGTTCCCCTGCAAATTAAATGAAATTATTAAAACAATTTAATAGGCTGAAGTGAAAAAAAGACTAATAAATTTCATTTTAACTTAAGCAGATTTATTTCAGGATACAATGTAACCTAAAATTAGATACTTTAAAAATTGACATTAATATCTCTATAATTTAATATCATTAAAGTTTCATAGTTCGTTCAAAATATGCGTGAGATTTGTTGCATTGTGAATAATTCTTGCCCACTGTGAAATATATACAAATAATAATAATAATTGTTTGCGCCAAATCATTTTAGCTTTTTAATCAACTATGGCCCTAAAATTATTTCATGTCTAAAATTATTTCATTCAAAAATGATATTTCAAATAAAAAGCACGAAAAACTTAAGCGTAAAATTAAAAACAATGCTTACTGCCTTCTACGTGAATTAATTGGCGACCATTTTCTATTCGTACGATTGTCTCACATTGTATTAATTTAGCTGTAAATAAAATTTCTTACAATACCTTTGAAAAAATGCAAATAAATGAAATGATAGATTGAGAAAATAAAATCCTTTTTAGCTGAAATTTTCAAAGCATTAAAGATAAGAGATATGAAAAAAGATTACTACAAAGAAAATTAAATTAAATGTAATCAATTCTTTTATGGAGCAAATTACTTTTTATGTAAGCTATGCTTTGATAATTCAAATGCATCGTAAGAAAACTATCAGAAGATCCGATCAAGTTAGTTAAAATATTTTTTTTAACTGGTATATTTAAATTGGTTTAAATATTTGAATTTTAAATTTCAACTGATATATATATAATAGTTCAAATTTACTGATGTATAAATATGTAGTTCGTGTGGTGTAAAATTGAAGTTTAAAATGGATGTAATTGCTAATGCCTAAGAAATATGATGGATTTATTTCATATGCTTAAATGCTTCTCTCTTTAATTTATTGCAGAATAAAGACTCAAAAAAACCGATAAAATTTACAACAATTGTAAAATCTAAAGAATTCTCTTTTTACCAATCAAAGAATTAAAGGAAAAAAGAACAATAAATATATTGAAATATTCAAACTAAAGAATGAAATTTCATAAGGTAACTTACCAATAATAAACAAACCGAAAATAATATTCAGCCAAAGAATTTTCATATTTTAAAATAAAAAAAGAAATAGTTTGAAATAATTTTTCCAAAAATAGTTTTTGATTGAATGAATGCCTTAAATGGAAATAGAAAGGAAACGAATATGAAAATATTAGTTCGTTATCGTTGACTATGGCCTCTGAAATTTACATATATTTATCAATCTTTCATAAATAAAATTTTTTAAGAAAAGAAATTGAATTAATCAAATGTGCATACAATGATTCATATCACACATATTGACAACTCTTTCTTTTGTTTTAATAAATGCAAATTTTTTAATTTTGAAGGAAAAAGCATTGATAGACTCAACGCTTTGCATTTTCCGTAAACAAAATGTCAATCATAAATAAAGAAAGTAAAATAGTAAAAAGTAAAATTTGTGAATTAAATTTGAAATTAACAATAGTGAAAACTAAAAACTTCGAAAAAATGAAAAACGGATGCATAATGAATTGTTTTCTAATATAAAAGATAGGAAAGAATATTTTTAATTGTATTTTAAATATTTATACTTTTAATTTGAAATTTAAATTTAATTCTGATTTCGATTTCTTAATAATTCATTGAATATAAAATGTTTAATATAAATTTAACAATAAGCATAACAATCATTAATTGCTACTTATTATATCGAAATATTTGCTTCATTTTGGCAAATAAATTGCAATCAAAAAACCTTTCAGAAAATATTTCTTATATTTTATTTATAAGAAATATTTCAAATTCATTTATTTCCTTACATTTAAATACAATCAATTTCAGCTATTTTACTATAAATATTGCAAGTATTTCTAAAAAAGAAAGAAATTTGCATAATAATAATAATAAAAGTTTGCAAGAATGCGTCGTAAAATAATTAAATAACTTTAAATCTTTTGAATAATTAAATTATTACAAATAAAATCTCTGCCATTCCATCAAAATCGGAATTGTAAAGCGAAATTTATGAAAAAGTGAAAATATTTGTTAAAAATTTTCCACAAAAGCTTCTTTAAATTGTAATTTAAAAAAGAAAAATTTTAAGACAAAATAAACTTAATTAATTTCAAATTTAATATTTTTTATAGAAATAGAAAGAAAAGATAAATAATTAATTTATTAAAAACAAAATAGATGGATTAAAATGATGCAATACACTAAAGAAACTATAAAATGCGTAACCAAGGTAACCTACCTGCCTATCTACCTTTAATTCCATTTCTATCAATCTTTCTTACCAATCATATTTTAAGTTAAATTGACTATTTAAAAGACCTATAAAATTTGCCTTTTTCAGAAAGAAATATATATGGTCGGTAGCATCATCCCACGCATTTATATATTAAATATATAAAAATAAGTAAACATCCAAAATAAGTTGAAATATACAAACTCTCATTTTACGCTTATAACAATAAGTAATAGTTAAGGCTATTATTTTATGGCACTTTCTTTCTTTCTTTCTTTCATTTTCATACTCAATCAATTTTCATTGTTTATTTCTCTATCACAAAAAAAGAGTATAGTCAATTGTGGTAAAAATTTTTGAACATTTATTAGCGCAGTTATGCATTCATCTCTTTTTATTTCTCTCCCTCTCCCTCTTTCTCCCTCTCCTTTCCCCTCTCTTTTTGTCGGAATCGAAAGAGCAATAAGCTGTTGCCTTTTAACAAATAATAGTTGGCACTCTCATAACAATAAGTAATAGTTAGGAAGGATTACAGTTTAGAAGGCGTGTAATTGAAATAGAAATTTGAATAAATACTTGAATTTATGAATTATTTTTTCAAGCATATTTATTATTAAACAAATAAATATTGAAATAGGAATGAATTAGAATTGATGGATTTAGTAATTTGTTGTTTTTAGATGGAAAAAGTTAATATCGAAATGTTGAAATGTAAATTGATGAATTTCAAATGAGCAATAATCAACAATGTCTCTCTCTCTCTCTCTCTCCTAATGGAAATATTGAAATTTGATTTATTTCCTAAATTATTTCAGCTTATTCTTTATAAAATTAAAAAGTAACATTTAATATCCATTGAAATTGATTAACGATAGCTTATCATATAGGAGATAAACTCAAATGGTGAATCATCACGATATCTAGTCATTATCAATTTTCGCTTTAGGGAATTTGAAATTTCTTCGGGAAATTAAATGAAATCTTTTGCCTTAAAATTTAACTCTCCCAAATTGATTTTTGCATGAAATGATAGTATAGTTGCGCCGATAGCAGCTATTTCTTATGATTTATTTTGGGAGTAAAAATAGTAGCTGATCACTTTACTCTTCAACGATTTAAAATTTTCAAAATTAAAGAATATTTCAAAAAATCTGTGACATATTATTAGCATTAACTTATGTTTTTTATGCAAACAATTGCTTTGCCTAAAATAGAAATAATATTTTGACTTGTTGAAAATGTTGAAATGAAATAGCAAACAATCAGATAGAGCTGTCCATCACATGTAAACTTTTCAATATTCAATTCATTCGGTCAAATTTCGCATGCAAAACTTCACTTGTCAAAATTTTCAAATTTCCATTACATCATCAGATAAACAATATTAATTAGCATATTATGCACTTTTTCATCCAAAAATTACAGCTGGGCACTTATAAAAGTAATTGAAGTGACAGCAAATAGTCTATCATTTTCTTGCAATTACATTTTTTATGAAAATTCATTAACGAAAGTTCGGAAATTTAAGCATTCAAGAATTTTGAATTCTGTTTCACTATGTAATATTATATTTTAAATCATTTTAGAATAGATTTTGAGAAATTTTTGGTTTAACAATAAGTGGTTAAACCCTCAGAATTTCAGTAAAATAAGAGAGAAATGATTGGTTTTCAAATTGATAAGAACAAATAATATCTCAAAAACAATTTATGCATATTTTGAGAATACTGCAAATGGATTTTTGATCAAAATCAACAACTGCCGCTCAATTACCGTGCTTTGTAGTAATTGTCATGAAATACCCATTCTTTGATCACTTCTCAAGAGAAAAATGAAATTCGTGTCTTCAGTTATCTTAATGGGAACTGATCCACACTGCGGGATAAGTTAAGTCAGCAAATCCATGAACAGTAAGAAGCGTCTGGATCAGAAAGCTGATTGTTTTATTATTGAATCGCATTTTGTCATATGCTCGCAAGTTTTCATAATTTGCTGTCTGTGATTCGAAGAGCATTTTGCTTCACTATAAAGGGACAAATGATTGCAAGATGTTGGATTCTTTCTTATTAAATGCGAATTCATGCGCAGACGTGGAATGATAAAATAAGATGGAAAAATCGCAGAGTGAATAGACTGTTCCGAAAGACATTCTCATCTTTGGCTTTTAAAATCAAGAGCTAAATTTTGAATCCAAAACGAAAATTCACATTTAATTCTGCAAATTTTTATTATATTCAAAAACAATTCATAGCTGAGCATAATAATTCATTTGTGGAACCACATAATTTATTATTTGTACAGATAACAGAAATGATCAACCAGTTATACCTCTCGAGAATTTATTTGCTTTAACGATTAGAATTCTACAAAACTAAAAAATGACACGCAATATGACATTTGTCACTCACTGTTGCTTTATATTTGTCATATCGTGTCATTTACCGCTGACTGATGCGGAATATTTGCATTTTTGAATCGTTCGGACAGATTGAAAGTGAAAAATATAATGTCATTGAAGTTTGTTTTAATCACTGTTTATATATATATAATATGTGAGCATTATAAAGTGGCTTCATCGCACAGTACATCTGGTAAGCAGCTTTTCCCGCGGTTACCTGAAAAAAAAAACAAAAATAAAAATATTGCTGGAAAGGAAAAATATTATATAAGAATTCTTCCTAACTTTCATAAGAAATTAAAAAAGATCAATTTTACATTTGAAGAATGAAATGGTGCTGATTGCACAGATGGTAGGAAAATAATCGATAAAACGAGAGCTGATCAAACGAAAGAACTATGCATGATTAAAAGGAACAAAAAATAAATTGCTGTTGTAGATCATAACAAAAACAAATTTCCTCCGATCTAAAACTAATCCACTACATATTTTTGAACATAAAGCAATCATTATCTTATTTAAATACGGCATTTCTTCAATTTTATATGTATAATAAATCTACTGTATCAAAAACTGCATCATAGTGTCGATATCTCCACCACTATTAAAATTCCTACATAAGTCAACCACACAATGGTTTTTTGATTTCTTAATAAATCCCATTTTTCCTAAATATAGATCAACTCTGTATTACAATCCACTCCATTTTCATCTTTTTATAAACAAATATACCAAAATAAATAAACAAGATACCGTAGTCAGAAAGAGCCCTAGACGAAAGTGAAATGTCAATATTGACGGCATCAGAGGCAACAGCTACTGTTGGTTCGTTAGAATAATAATGTGGCAGTAGATTTCGTTTTGATGCCGGATAAATACATGATAGTTCCAAACAATCGTCATCCATATTTAATTCTCGAAGTACACGAAGACGAATCTGAAATCGAGACAAAGAAAATAAGAGAACATTAATTAAAGTGAACATGAAAAGCTTGAAAGGTCGAGAATTTAGGAAAATTTAGTACTCAAATACATGAATACCTGTTCAATGGCTAACTCAAGATGGTGTGAACAACCACAGCAGGATATTTTCTTCAATAAATCATTCTCAGCTAATTCCTTCAAACGCCTTTCAACCTGAAATCCTGAGCTATATGGATTATGTAATCTGTACGCCAACATGCACCTATTTTCTTTCCTCATTAATTTTGACCAAATAATTTTCAAGAACTCATATATGTTATATTCCGAATTTGAAAGCTTATCATATGTCTCAAGCAACAAAATTCAATTATAAAGACCATGTGTGGATAGCAAACGAGTGGATGCTTACAATGTAATTTCTACAATGATAAATTGAAAAGATTTTTAAAAAAATTTTTACTTTCATCCCCAAAATAAGAGAAGTTTAAGTTTCAGAAAAAGATTAATAAAGTCTGCAAAAACCTTTAGTTTTAAAGTTTCGGAAATAATTTCTGGCGATAAATTGTTAACAACAAGTTGCAGTTCATTGGTAGGAGAACCTTTTTGCTGTAATGTGCATGATATATTTTCGCCACTTCTATATAAACGTTTCAACTGCTTCTGGACTTGCTGGAAAAAATAGTATATAAGTGAATGAAAATAAAATGTTTTATTAAAATCAGAAAAATACTTATGAAAATTAGAGGACGAAGTGAATGTTACAAAGTTGCAGCAAGCATGTGTTAAAAATTTATAACAACAAACTGCAATATATGGTATTAGAAGCCGTGGTCCGGCAGAATGTCGGCGTGGTACACTGTGATCAAACCAGTGTGCATCAGGATTCACATCCGGCGATCTGCTATCAGGATAACACTGGCCCAATAAATCGACGTGTGCTGATCTATCCAGCAGACCCCGTTTATAAGCAGCATTCAAACTCTGTAAGAGTTATGAAAGAAATTATGAATAAAAGGACAAACTGAGGCCCAAAACTGGAACAAAACATTTATTTCACCAATGAGAAGTTATTACCCGGTGGAATGGAGGAAGAATGTAATCGATCCGAACAAGAGGAAGTAAATCTGCCAAAATACTCTTCAACTCTTCGTCATTCAACTCAGAACGGCGGATGCCTTTCCGACTAACACTGTGGATAGTATTGGCGATCAAATTTGGTTCTCGTTCCTCCATCCGTCGCATCAATTCATGTTCACCCCACCGTATTACTGTTTCCAGGATTTTCACTTCAGCACACTGTCAACACAAAAATATACATTAAATATCAAATACATCAAACATCAAGTGAACTTTACAATTCCTAACTTCCTTTCTCTAATTAATCACTAAAATCGTTGATGCAAAAAGCAGCGTAATAGTTTAAATCATTAAAAAAAAATCATATCAGCGCTATTCCCAGTACTAATTATCAGCTGGTGTCTAATTAGAAATTGAAAAATATTATAAAAGAAATAACAGCTAAAAAACCTGAACATAGTCGGAAAGCAGACAATTCCTCAATAAGTCTTCTTGTAGCTCAAAAAGTATGTGTGAAGAACAAATTCGAGAGAAATCTGAACGAAGGAATGCGATGCACTGACGTCGAACATAAGCAGAACCGCCAGGTTCGCATGCCCAATTCCAAAGACTTCCTACCGTTTCTATAGACATTTGTGCTATGATAGTGTCCTCGCAGGCTAAAAAAGGCAATGGAAAATTACTTATATGATCTACCGATAAGAATAAAGCTTCACTAATGGAATATGAAAAAGATTGGAAATAAAGTAATCCGCGGTTTTAACTATTTGAACGCTTCTTAAGGAGAATGGTATATGAAATAACATCGGTGAGGCAAAGATACACTGAAGTAATACACTAACCATGCATTAAATAAGGAAGATTCATAAACTGTGCTATGTGGAATATATCAATGGCATGACGAAGAGAGGCAAGATGTCGTTGTCCAGATGCGATTGCTTGCACTTCACTCAAGCTGCTTACTGATAATTGATATTTCTCTTGCATCTATAAATTTAATGATATCAGTTTTAAAGAATATATATATGGCAAACAGAATGAATAATACAACAACCAAGTCAGACCTGTGAAAATATTCCTACTGCAAAGGGAACTACTTCCGTGTTTATATCTGAACGAACTGTACATAGTTAAGAATTTATTATTTTTTTACCTATTTAATATTAAACATTGATACCTTATTCAAATCCAATCGATCTGTGTAAATCGCATCCAAAATAATACGTGCATATATGCGTGGAAAAAGATGTTCATTGATGACAATTTCTAACTCCTCATCGCATAAAATACGCTTTTCTATCATAGATCGCAAATAACTGGATCGTGCTGCCAGAACTATTCCCGAACATTTTACTCGATAATCACGATCTTCACTATGACTCCCTCTTCCTAAAAATTCTGCATCTATATCCAAAGAGCTTATAAATAATAACAAAAAATGCAAGGATTTAATCAAAATATTACTGTTTCCTGCTGTAAAAACCAAGGTACATTCTCCTATCTGGGAATCTGCTGCCATAAGATCATTAGAAAGCGACGAACCACAACCATACCTTGAAATCAAATTTATGAATGGAAGTACCATAACTAATATCCAAAGCTACCTACTATCGGTATATCCATTATTTGTTATGCTAATTATGTCTACAATAAGGTTTTTCGGAATTTTCCATAAAAACTTTGATTTTAATTTTATTGCAAACATGCGGTTTACGGGAAAGATTGAATATAGTTCAAGCCTTTTGATGAAATAACTTCATAATAAAACATAGCCAGCTAGCTGACTTATTTGAAATAAAACCTTTGCAAAACAGTATTCAATGACTGTCGGTCGGAATCACATAATGATTTATCGTATTCACCAGAATAAATATAATACAACATAGCTTGGAATGTTTCTGATGATATGCTATTATCCATGAATAGAATTTCGAACTTTGCACTATCCGACTGCTGTGTAACCAGTGAATTCCAAAAATCAGAGAAATAACGACAACGCGCTCGAAGTATAAAGGAATGAGCAGCATAGCGGAGTCCCTGGAAGTGATGAAAGTTGACTCTTATAATAAAATGAATTAAAAAAATTTTTTACATCAATGGCACATGCACAATATGTTTAGAAAATAACATAGCGCTCCAATAAAACTGTGAACTGACAAAAAATAAAAGTAATTTGCGGAGTACATTTAAGATCCATTTTGAAACACTGATAACAGCTAAAGACACAGAAATTTGAATTGAATGATTATTCATTTTTGCTGCTTTGAAGTCAAGACCAGAAATCAGAAGGCAATAATAAATTTAAAAAGAAATACATCAATATTTTTTCATCTTTCACCTGAATAAACTTCCTGTGTAACTTGTTTCTCTTTTTGTAAATGACATACGATTCTTACGTTTTCCGAATCAACAAAAGATAGGTAAAAAATAATACTACTCTATTACTTATTACTCAAAAATTATTTGAATTGAATGATTATTCATTTTTGCTGCTTTGAAGTCAAAACCAGAAATCAGAAGGCAATAATAAATTTAAAAAGAAATACATCAAAAATTTTTTTGGACAGAAGTAACAGAATTATTACAAATCTTCGGAATTATTACTGAAAAGCAAATTCATAATTACCTTATGTATAACAAAGCAGTCAGAAACTACTTCATTTTTCCATGCATTGAGCAGATCTTTTGCTAGAACAGATGTGCTAGGTCGCGCTTCTTCAGCCATCGAAATCAAATCCCGCACCTTACAGGCACTTTCCATTTCCGTCAATAAAGCAGCAAGCTCAGTACTTGTCCAGTGACTGATGAGATCACAAAACGCACGCTGATCTTCGCGTGATATTTGTCGGTACTGCAACGAAAACACTAAAGCTAAATATTTTTCAATTTTTCGTTTAATTCCATAAAAGGACGGTAACATAGTTCCTACGAAATTGATGTCATATAATCTTTTTCTAACTTTTATAAGTCAGCAATTTAAAAAATCCAAAAGAAGAAAGAAAATTTAAATCTCTACATCGTTTCTTTAATGAATTCTACAATCCAAAATTAGCCGTGAGCGCAATCAATGGATTCAACTTATTGCTGACCGCTAAGTGAAATGCTACGAGTAAATTTCCGAATAATTTTCCCAATGGAACTGTGATTGGAAGGCAAAACAAACAACTTATTAATTTTTTAACTCGTAGAAACTGCCATAAAGAGCTTATTATTTTAACAGCTTAACGAATAATTTAACTAAAAATCATGCTTAACATGTAATTCTAATTAGAAAATTACACTTACCTTTCGTCGCCAGCGAAAATTTGATAATTTCTTAGTGAAACATTTGCTATGGACAAATGATATTGAACGACTATGCTGAACATCATCACCTTTACGTGTTGAGGTTGGCGCAATCCAATCAGGCCTCGATTCTTTTTGAATACTGCTATTCAATGAACCCATTGATTTCTTACTAGCATATCTTTTCTGAGATTTAAACAAAATCAAAGAAATCATTTAATGTTTTGTCTCAGATATTTTATAATATAAGAAAACTTACTGCTTTATTCAAAATTTCAACTTTTCGTATTTTAATTCATAATCATCTCTAAACACATAGCTCAAGAATGATCAAAATCAATCAGAGCATAGGAATGAATCGTCAGAAAAATTCGTCATATTAGTTATTATCCTAACTTAATCCTAAGCTATTATCATATATTATATATATTCTCAAAAATGTCTTTCCATCGGAAGCTATTCCACACTGAAAGGCAAGTAATAAATTTCCGAGAGTCGCGAATTGACCCTAGACCAACGAATCGTCTTCAGATCATTTGGCAATCATATTCAATGGTCATCGAGAGCTCTCATCTCTCAATTCCTTTCGAATTGGGCGATGTATCCATGTATCATCATCCACTGCTTTGGTATCAGTAATTTTCTCAATTTTTATTAAAACATTCTCCTCTCTCCTTCCTTTCTAGATCCTGTTTTTGGTTGAATTATCATCACCAATGTGCAATTTTCTGAAGGCCGTTCAGAAATCTAATCATGATTACTTTTGTTTTTTTCTTTTCTTTCATATTTGATTCAAAGTATATAGACTCAGTAATATTTGTTATGTTTTATTCTCAATGCAACCTTTGATGTGCTTGTTGAATTTTAGTTTTAGCATGCTAAAATTAAAAAAAATATTTTTTTCTCAAACTTTTTTTGTGAAATGAGAAAGGTGAAAAGAAGAAGAAATGAAGAGGTAAGCTTGCTTCAAATATTTTTACCCTGATATTTCGTTTTAATGATTACAGCATTTCCTGAGTGTATTTCTCTGGAAAGTAAATCCGTTCTTCGTTTTTCGCCGTGAGAGAACATTCAAAAATGAAGCTTTATAATTTAACAATAAGCTTTAATTCTAAATTCTAACTCCAGAATTCTTCCTCTTCTGCAATTTCCTTCTGAGATCGATGATTCAAAAGCTAATGGTAAAATTAAAGCCTTAAAAAATTTACAGAAATTATTCTACCCAACTCTGTGCTTTTTCATTCTATTTTACTCATTTCAAATATTCGCATGCAAAAATTTCAAAAACATTTACCACGAAAAAGATAAATCGTAAAGAAATATATAAAGAAAATTGGTCATTAATATCACATTATTTATTGGTACTGCATTTCTTATTGTATCTCCAATCCTCTTTATTTATTGCTTTCATTCTTATTGTACCTTCTATCTTTTTTTTTTACTAAATCAATTTCCGCTTAATTAATCTATCCCTTTACTAAATCAACTTCAATTTTATCTCTTTACTGAACCCATAAAACTCCTTATCACACTCGCATCTTCCCTATTGTATATGTATTCTTTACATATATAAACATACACAAAATACTCTTTGCCTTGCGTATTGTTATTGTATTGATATTTTCTCTCTTTATCATATCATTTTTCCCATTCTCTTTCTCTTTACCTTTCTATTCTTTTTTGCAATTTAATCTTTCTGAGAAAGCGTAATATTTCTAACTGAAATTTAACAGTAAAGAAAAAAGAAGAATTACCAATTATTATAAATGAATGGCGCAATGAGAGAGAAAAAGATATGATAAGAACGAAAGCGATATTTAGTAGAATGTGACAAAAACATTTGGAGATGATTCAGTTGCGCCAGTCATCAGTGCCATTAGCGTTTGATTTAGTTTGGTTATTATTTTCTTCATTTCATATTTCATATAAATCTATCATTTCAATCCTTTTTCCATTCAACACAAACATGCGATATTTCTTCTCTTTTTCCGTCTTCAGAATGACTCTTTTTCCGTCTTCAGAATGAATAGAAGAAACCGGTTTAACAAATCTGTGAATCCTGCAACTTCGTTCCTATACTTTTTCTTCCATTTTTCTGCAAACTTGCTGTAATACATTTCATTTTGTTTGAAATTAATCATTCAGAAGTAAAGAAATTTAACAAATATATTTTATTTGATAAACAAAACATTCGTACTACTTCATGTAAACTGCGCTTTCTTGACAGTTGTATATATATATTTATATGTACATATATTTGTCTCTCTCTCCCTCTCTCTCTCTCTCGTTAATTATGAAAACCCAAAAAAAGAAAAAACTCGTTATTTCTCTAAATTTTGAAAATTTCAATCAGTGTTGATTGAAATTGAAAAAAATAATTTTTTATTTTTAAATAGTGAATGCTTAAAATAAATATATTAATAAAATCAAGGGGTTTAAAGATTTTTCTATATATTATCTAATGAATTCAAGCCTCAAATGGCTACCATTGAATGACCCATTCTTTTCTCTGTCCACAAATTACGAATGAATCATCATCAAATACAATATAAAAATATATTTTAATTTAATTGAGCTTCATGCTCTCCATTGCTCAAATATCAAAACTTTTATTTCATCATTTCTTTTTGCTTCTAATTTACGGTAAGTGTCACTTATTTTACTAGATGATCTTTGAAAAAAAGAACTTTTAGGCGTTTGGAATTTGTACCGTAGTAATTTGATGCTTAAAATGCATCATAAAAATATAGCCAACAGAATCAGTGATCGGGACACTTAAATAAATTTATATTATGTAAGAATTAACCGTATTTTTTCCTTCTCTAATCCAACACATTAATTAATACGATATTTATTATTTTAATTTTTAGTATCTCCCGGGAAATGACAATATGACCATCTTTTCTTTCTGGGATTTTTTGAAATTATATGTGGAATATAATGTAAAAAATGTTACTATTGGCTCAAACAAAATAATTTCCAATGATCGTTTTCATGTTTAGTAACAAGAAATATTATATATTGTTGATTGTCCGTCCGGTATAACGGTAACAATTTTAAAATCTATCTGTTTTTACTTTCAGCTTTCTAATATGCTTGTAATTAATTAATTAATTAATTAAATTAAAGATGTGGTTGGTAATCTTTATAGAAATGAGAATGAAGGATGGGAAGAAGAGGAGTGGAATAGAAAGAGAGAGAGAGAGAGAGAGAGAGAGAGAGGGGGTTCAGAAAAGTCTTTGATCGAAGATTCATTTGTTAAAACCGAATTATTTCAAATCTTTTTTGGTCTTTTATCATTTCTGTTGTCGAATGAATGAGATGAAATTTATTTAATTCAAAGTTCTCTTAAAAGAGTTGAGGTCATTCGACTGAAATTTTCTTTTCTTTAAACAAAGTCCGATCACTAGTATTGTTACTAGTGATCGAATCGGATAAGGTACTTTTATAAAGAAAATGATTAGCAATTGTGCTGATAAATTGCATCTTGCAATATAAATCTTTGAAAGGCTTAGAATAAAGCATACTATGCTGATTTAGATATCATTTAATGATAACAGTGGAAGAAATCTTCTGAATACTATGTAAATAGATGTTAAAGCTTCAGAAAAGATTTATGACATTAATTGACTTTATAATCAATCTATAAATATACCATTTTAATCTTATATTAACTTTTAATATATTTCTATTATTGTTTGATAAAAATACTATTTAAGATCACATTATAATATCGTGCCGTGCAATACCGTACAATTGCAAATGGTGCTTTTATTATTCTTCACTGTTTTATATTATATAGCTAAGATATTTTGAAATTTTCAGAAATAAATGAAATTACTATTCTGTGAACGAGTAGTTATGGTTTTCATTAATAAATCATAACAAATATTTTTCTTTGCCTTTAATTTTATTTTTTCCAAAATCATTTTATTCCTCATTTACCATTTACTTCTTTTCACATGAAACATTTCATTGGAATGGTTCATTGTTTTACATATCGATATCCTATCCACCAATGAACCAACCAAATTATCACTTCGCTCCTTGTCAATGAAAGATGTGAAAATGCAACTAGTTCGTGAGCATTCCACTAATTTCTATTCTGTTCGAAATAAAATTCAACGAAACTATAGATGGGTGTGCAAACATGTACAGATACTAACACAAACGCCATACACACACCACATACACATACACATACTCACACAGATATCCGTTATGTATCGGTTAGTTCTAAATGCCTCAAAATCATTAATTATATTAAGGAGACTTTTTTGGTGGTAACCAGTTCATGTGATAATTCTTTTTCTAGTTGGGCATGAGAAAGAGAGAGAGGAAGAGTTAGACTGTTATTACCTTTTTTTTCTGAATTAGTTTTACAGTTTTGAAAGACTGGATATTTAGATTTTAAAAGTGCAAATATTCGACAAGGAACTATTTTACAAATGTAAATCCCAATTTCTATTTCTAAAATTTGTGCGACGAGATGAATCATTTAACAATGCAATTCCGAGTGTTACTTTCATCGTAGTTCCTTCGGAAATCTTTTTGTACTATAAATTCCTCATGAAATCTAAAATTTCTATTTGCATATCATATCTCTTGCTGTCTGATGTTATATGATTTCAGAGCCTTTGAAGAGACCGTAAAAATTCGCATTAATTTGTCAAATATATTATAAACTATTGTGAAGATATCATTGCCTTTTAATTCACTTTTTATCATTTAAAATAAATTGACAATAATGACAAATATTCCTATCATTATTTATTGCAGCTGAAATTTAAAAACTCTATGAGAAACAGCAAGTTCTGAAATTTTGGATTTCTGGAAATGTGCACATATTTTATTTATTTCCTATTTGAAACAAAAACTATTTGTCTAACTTTTCAGCTAACAGTCAAAAAAATAATTTAACAATTGCATCTTATAAAAGCAAACCCATAAAATTACCATTTTTTACCTTTTTTCTTCTTATTTTCTTAATATTTAATTTTCAATTAATTTCTCCAGCTTTTTTTATCTAACGGATATTTCTTTTATATAGCATAATCAACTCTAATCTATTTATTTATGGATTTGAGGAAGATTTTCATTCTTCTAATCATCTTCATTATTTTTTATTACAGTCATTCTACGCGTATCACTTCTCATCTTCG